ATAGAGGGACTTACATACTCATAAAGGTGGTCTCTGTAGTCTTTTTTCCTTCTATTTACAATCTATCTTGGACACGTCAGGTGAATAGTGAATTATTTTTTAGTAGAAATTTAAGAAAATGTTGTATTTTTATTAATCTTGAATAAAAAGCATAGAGTTTGTATTATTATAGTGTAATTTTTATTTTAACTATTTCTTTTTCCATACTATATTTTATAAATATTTTAGGTCTTTTTTCCTCTTTATTATTTTTTTTCAAATTTATTTTCTCCTATTTGTTTCTTCCTCTTCATCTTCTTTTATACGTTTGTACATAACTCCCTTTCTTTTTTCTTTTTTTTACTTTCTTCTGCTTCTTCTCTCCGTGGTTCCGTATTTTGTGCGACCCTTTTTTTTTTTTCTTTTTATTAAATATTAACTTAGAAATTAATTATTATTCACTTTGTATTTGTTTTTTTTGTTTTTTTTTTTTTTGTTTCTTTTTTCTTTTTTTCTTTTTTCCTGTTTTTTTTTTTTTTTTCTTTTTTTGCTTTTTTTACTTAATAATCCATAATAATGTTTTTCTTCTTTTAATATTTTTTTTTTAATATTTAATCTTTTAATATTTTTATAAATATCTTGCTAAAATTTTTTTTTTCTTTCTTTTTTTTTTTTGAGTAAAATTGTTTTGTATTATTTGTTTCATCTTGGTTTTACTTAATTTATCTTATTTTTTACTATGTCTTTGGTGCTGTGTTATTTTTTTTTTGATATTTATCATTTTTTAGATACAGTTATATTTTGTTTTTTTTATTTATTTTCTTGTTGTTTTTTGGTGATTTTTTTGTTTTTAATTTTTTTTTTTTTTTTTTTCCTTTTCGTTTTCATGTTTTCCATTGATTCTCTTTTTATGTTTTTTCAGTTAGTGTATTTTAGGGATTGTTCTTTCGTTCGTTTCATTATCCTTTTTTACTTTTTTTTTTCTTCTTTTTTTTATCTTTTTTTTTTAAAGTGAGCATCTTTTTTTGTTATTTTTCAATGTAGTCTTTTTTTTTGGTGTCTTTATCTTGTTGTAAAAATGCATCGCAATTTCAGTGTTGCATTATATTATTTCTTCTTTGTTGCATTGTATTTTGCTTTTTTTCTAGAGAATGCATTTGGCCATTTTTTTCTTCGGTTTTTTTTTTTTTTCTTTTTCTTTTTTCTTTTTTTTTCTGTTTCTCTGTTTTTGATTTTTTGTTTGTACGATTTTTTATTTTTTTTATTTTTTAATTGCCTCGCTATCGCTTTTTTTTCATTACTCTTTGAAAATAACTTTGTTTAATAATATTAATGTTATTATAATTTTAATATTTTAAAAATCTCCGGATTGTTCGTACTTTAGACTAATTATTAACGATTTATATTTTTTTTTTTTGGCTTAGTTTTTTTTTTTTTCTTTCTTTTTTTTCTTTTTTTTTCTCTTCCTCTGACTATTCATTTCTTTTGTGGAAAAACGTAAGTAAACTTCCCTGTTTTCTTTTCTTTTTTTTTTTTTTTTTTTTGTTTTTTATTGTTTTTTTTTTTTTTTTTTGTTTTTTTTTTTTTGCTTTTTTTTATTTTTTTTTTTTTTTTCTTTTTTTTTTTTTTTTCGTTTTTTTTTTTTTTTTCTTTTTTTTTTATAAATTTTATCTTAGAAAATCCTTTTTTTTTTTTTTTCTTTTTCTTTTTTTTTTTTTTTTCTCTTGTTGTGGTTGCTTCTTTTTTTTTTTTTTTTTTTTTTTTTTTTTTTTTTTTTTTTTCCTTTTTTTTCTCTTTCTTTTTCTTTTTTTTTTTTCTTTATCATGAAATTACACATGACTATTTTTTTTCTTTTTTTTTTTTTTTTTTTTTTTTTTTTTTTTTTTTTTTTTTGTTTTCCTTGTATTTATTCTTTGTCTTTTTTTTTTTTTTTTCTTCATAATATTACTAATTTTTGTATTTTTTTTTAATTTTTGTCATCCTTACGTCTTTGTTCGTTTCATTATTTTTTACTTCTTAGCCGTGTCGTATTTGTTCCACTTTATTTTGTATTTCTGTATTTTATATTTCAATGTTTGTTTTTTTTTTTTTTTCTTCTTTCTTTTTTTTTTGTTTTTTTTTTTTAGATATTCATTTGTTTGTATTTATTGCTTTCTTCTGATATACTCTAATTTCTCTATTTTTTTTTCTGTTCAACTTTTATTGCTTGTACTACTCACTTTTTTTTTTTTTTTTTTTTTTTTTTTTTTTTTTTTTTTTTTTTTTATTCTTTCGCTTTTCTGTTGAAACCAGCTTTTCTTTTTTTTTTTTTTTTTTGTTTTTTTTTTTTTTTTATTTTTTTTTTTCTCAATTTTTTTTTTTTACTGCTGCATCTTTTTCTCTGTTTCTTTAATTCTTAATTATCCTGGCTTTTTTTTTTTTCTATAAATTTTGTTCTCAACACCTTGTTTTTTTTTTTCTTTGTTTTTTTTTTTGATTGTTCTTTTCGATTTTCTTTTTTTTTTTTTTAGTTTTTTTTTCGTAGGGATCTTGTGCTTTTGTATTATTGCTTTCTCTTTTATATACTGTTTTGTTTTAATTTTTTTTTTTTTTTTTTTTTTTTTTTCTTATTTATATACTAGTTTCTTTTATTTTTGATTGTTTTTGTTTTTTTTTTTTTTTTTTTCTTGTTAAAATTTGACATCTTACTTGTTATTTTGTTTATTTTTTGTAATTAGATTCTCCTTTTTTCTTTTCGGCCGTTTTATACCTTATGCATCTATTTTTTGTCTTCTTTTTTTTTTCTTTCAGCTTTGTCTGATACTTTGGCGCTAAATCTACTTTATCTTGTATTTTGTTTGTGTGTTACAATATGTTCTTTCAATATGTATTCTATTTGTATTTTTTTTTTTTTTTTTTTTCTATTAACTAATCTTTTTTTTCTAATTTTTCTTTTTTTCTCTTTTTTTTGTTCTTTAAAATTTTTCTTCGTGATAAAATACTTTTTTTTTTTCAAACTTTATTTTGATAATTTAACAGTAGGTTTGCTCTTAATTATTTTCTTTTTTTTGTGTCTATTTTCGCATCTTAATACTAAATTATCCAGCTTTTTTTTTTTTTTTTTTTTTTTTTTTTCCTAATTTTTTTTTTTTTTTTTTTTTTTTTTTTTCTTCAATAGATTTTTAGAAATTGTCTTCTTTTTTATTGATTCTTTTTTTTTTTCTATTTAGTTGTTTTTGCTTTTTTTTAGTTTTGTTTCTTTTTTTTTCTTTTTTTTTTTTTTTTTTTTTTTTTTTTTTAAATAGTTCTTTCTTTTTTTTCTCTATTTTTATATAATATCTTTTTTTTTTTTTTTCTTTTTTTTTGCTTTTTTTTGTTTTGTTTTTCTTATTTCTTTTTTTTTTTTTCTTTTTTTTTTTTTTATTTTTCTCTTTTTTTTTTTTTTTTTTTCTCTTTATTAGTGTTTTTTTTTCTTAATTTTCTTTCTTTTTTTTTTTTTTTTTTTTTTTTTTTTTTTTTTCTTTTTTTTTTTTTTTTTTTTTTTTTTGATTTAAAATAAATTTATGTGTCTAATAAAATTTTGGTTAAAGATGCGGCGAGTTGGGGGGGAGTATGATAATATGAGATAAGAGCATTTGGTCGGTACGTTGTATTATTTGCGAACATAAAATATTCATGTCGCGATATCAAGAATGGGCAGTTGGCTTCAATAGTTAAGTAAATGGGTTGTTACATGCGCCATAAAGTTCGTTAGAATACGATACATCAGCTTTAGTTCAGAGTGTCTTGGAAAAAAATTGTCACAGATTAATCAGGAAAAATAAGAATTAGGGACGTAACGGTACCTGGTTAAATGTTAGTTAATATTCTTGCCTTATTTTGAAATCTTTTATTATTCTTAAAAGTACATAGGTTCTACAGTGGATCCGCGGGTTTTTATGTGTTAGTACGTGAACTACTAGTTTTGTCATTTAGAAACTATACTTTATCCACATTTTCGTTATCAGGCCAGCAATTATCCTTTTCTTCCGCAATATCTGCCGTTTTATCGATCTCAGCATTACGTAGCTTATCCATGGTACTACGTACTATTTTTGTCGCTTGAGGTCCTCAAAGTCGTTATATGGGTACACGGGAAAGTAGGAATTGGAAGGTTGAAACTCAAGTGGTGGCTCATTCAGAATGGACACAGCGTCGATTGATAGTCTAGCCCCCTCTGGTTCTCGCTACATGTTTTTTTTTTTTTCTTTCTCTATTTCTTCACCTAAAGGGTGTAGAAGAGAAACGATGACGCTGAAAGAGTGTCGCTCGCATATTTCGTGATCATGTACCACCTACACATTGATTACATTTCTTATTCCGTGTACATCTGAAGCTAGTCATTAAGAGTAATATTCTCGGTACGGCCAGCACAATGGGTAAATAGTTATATGTTTTTTGATAAATTTCATTGCTCAATTTTTTCGGTGTGGCTTTCGCTCAGACATTTCCAAAAAGAACGCGAGAGGACGTTTACCTTTAAGAATGGTTAATAAAGAAGAATTAGGGAGCTCTTATTATTCGAGGCAATGTTTATAGCAATAATCACTATGTGCTCGACAACTCATTGGGTTAAATGAAGTTGAAATTTTTTTGCAATAAGTAGGGCACGTACACAAATCCTTATTCCCTTTGCAATCAAGCTGTAAAGTAGTGGGACTCAAAAATATAAAGATACAAAAGAAAAACTAAATAAAGGAAAAAAAATAGTGAAGAATAAGCAAAAATAAAAGGAAAATAAAAGAGCGTCCACTTTACTTTTTTTGTTACTTAAGGATTGAAAATAAGGATTTGTGTACGTTGTATTATTGAAATAAAATTTCAACTTCATTTAAATGGGTGTCATGCCATAGGATATTTGAAAATTGTCATTTAGGACGAGGTTTAATTCTTCTTTATTAATCTTAAAGTAACGTTTCGGTTCTTTGTTTAGTAAACCGAAAAATTGAGAAAATTTCAAAAAAATATATACTTTGGGCGGCGGCAGATGTCAGTTGGTAAGAGTATGTGGTAAGTCCGAATAGCTAGCCCCCACCAAAGAAAATAGAAAAAACATACGAGAAAGTGTGTGCCATTCTGTAGCACCATTAGTTTCATTTTTACTTTCCCGTGTACATAAGTAGTATAGAGTAATATACGTAGTACATGGAAAGTTATGTAATGCTGTGCGATAAACGGCGGATTTTCGGAAGAAAAAATAATTGCTGGGCCCTGATAACGAAAATGTGGATAAATATAGTTGCTAAATGACAAAACTAGTGGTGCTAAAGAATAGCACTACTTTCCGGTATAGATTTCTATTTCCTTTTGTCTCTACTAGCTATACGAACTTGCTACATACTCTTGCCAACTGCCATTTATCGCCGTCCAAAATACTCCCCCCAACTCGCCGCCCAAAATTTTCTTAATTTTTCGGTTTCCTAATAGTAGAACAGAAATATTATTTTAGAATTTTAAAGAACAGTAAAGCCTTATCATAAAGGACAATTTCCTTTGAAAAATTTGGAGCTGTTTTTAAGAAAATGGCGTTTAAGCCCTACTGTAAATTCAAAATGTGAAGTTTTTTCACAGAAAAATTTTGAGTTTTAGAAAAACTTCATTAGAAGTCATTTGAAGCATTTTAACTCACATATACAATAGTGTTTACAAGTCGCTAGAAATGTGCATATTAACGGCGAGAGAGATCTTTCAAATACATTACAGTTGTGTCATTTTCGAAAAAACAAACTCGAAATGAACTTTTTGTCATATTAAAGAGAGCAATTAGCACTATCCCTTCGAAACGTTTGAAGACAAAATTTTGAGCCGTTTTTGAGAAAATGGCGTTTGAGCGTTTCTGAAATGCGAAGTGTTCAGCTAGTTTAACAGAAAATGGTTGAGTTATCGAGAAGCGTATACAACATTATTTAACGAACATGTAATCATAATCATGTGAACAAATCGCCGCTAGTAAAAATATGAACGACGTAAGAGACAAATTAATTAAAAAATACATTTTTGTAATTTTTGAAAAAACAAAATAATACGGGATGTCTGTGTCATTCTGTAGCACCACGGGGTTTTTCTTAATTTAGTAACGGGTTGTATCTACTTTTTCGTTATCAGGACAGCCAATTATTTTTTTCTGTCGAACATCCGGTTTTTTCGTGCAGCAATAAAATCGTCACATCAAACAGGCCGATGGCCAATGCATCTCTCGTACAATGCAATAGATATTGCAACACTGAATGCATGCATTGTTTACAACAAGATGCCCAAAAACTACATTGAAAATGTCACTTGGTGGCGACGGATTTCCCTAAAATAACTACTGAAAAACATGATCAAGGAAACATGAAATCAAGGATTAACAATCCCAAAACACATAAATAAGACATTGAACTGTCTAAATGTTTTCAAAATCCGCAAAGCTGTAGCTATAGTAGCCGGCGATACAACTTACTCAAAAAAGGAAAGGTTAGCGATTTTTAAATTAAATATTTATAAAAATATAAAGAAACATTTTTGTTTATTAGTGTGAATATATAATTTCCTGTTATTTATGGTCGCACAAAACGGACAGAGAAAGAGCAGAGTTTTGTACAAAACGTGAGAGAAATATTTGAAAATAATAAGAGAGCTCTAAATATTTTATTAGTTGGAATAATTTAAAATAAAATTACACTATAATCAAACTCTTGCTTTTGTATTTAAGTTAATAAAATACCATTTTCTTAAATTCTACTAAAAATTAATTCACTTTCCCTGACGTGTCCAGTAATTTTAGAAGGGAGTCTCAGAGGCCCCTTTAGTGTTTAAGTGTAATATTTTTCTTCGGAGCATCAACGGAAACAAGTGTTTTGATTTTTTGGAGTTTTCACATGAAGTTTCATTTACTTTTTCAAAATTTTCTCAAAAATTCCTCCAAATGTTTTTATTAAACTTAGTCCTCTGATGGCGGAAAAGATACTTAAAAGAAAGGGACAGATACTGCTTTCGCTGAAATGCTTGAGTTTTCGAAAATTGCATAATTTCAAAATTTGTCTCCATCTTCCTACAATATTGAAGACAGATATTTTGTTCCTTAATGAAATCTATTCTTCAAAAACAGATCTTGAAATAAGGTCGGATACAATTTTTCGAAAACGAATAGTTTTCGCGAAAATTTGGGTGACTGTTACAGGCAATATTTAAACAATATTTTCTCTTAAAAATGGCACCAAACCTTTCGTTTATATTTTGTCCTCGAATATATCAAAGAACGGTGAAACAGTGGCGCTAGTTCCATTTCCGACGAACAACGAGTTTTCGAAAACTGCAAAAATGTAACAATTCAAAACTAAAAATCTGAGGACAGATTTTTGTCTCTAACAAACTATGTTCTAAAAAAATAGATCTTTGAAAAATGTCATGTCCTGGTTTTTTGAAAATGCGTGTATTTTTCGCGCAATTTGAGCTTGAAGTTTATGCAAATTATTTTAAAAAATCTCAAAAACCGCTCAATTTTTTCTTCTTTCATTTTTTCCCTTGGAGATTATCCTCGGACCCTAAACCGAATATAATGCTTCAAGGAAAGACGCAGGTCTCATTTTTGTTAAACTCCTTGAATATTTCAAAATTGCAAATTTAGAAAGAATATGAGAAAGTAGTACAAGCTGCGGCAACAGCCCATTTTTATATGGTAATTTCGATAAAGCGCATGGCTGTTGAGATAAATGAGAAAAATTGAAAACAGCGAGACATTTTTAGGGCTTTATGCAATTTTCTTTGTGAAGTTTGAACATTTCTGAGAATTGCCAAACCTCAAATTCGAATTCAACACCCCTAAAACCCTGTAAGAAGAGAAAAACTTTTGATTTTTTTCCTTTGGACAGGATATTTAGTGACCGGACTTTCTCAACATGCCACTAGGGACTATAAGGGACACTGTCGACATCGAGAAAAAAGAGCAATTATTACAATCGTCCGTACACAATATTAAAATTATGTAATACTTGGAATAGTGGATGTGATAACTGTACTATGTATTATCTCATAATGAGTCATTAAGTTAGTTATTTTTTATGCATGAAACACGAAAAGGCAACTATAATAGTAGCTAGTAAATTTAGCTTTCCAGTCTTCAGAATTGATAGGTGGGACTTATTATTTAACTAGCGGTGTTGCAGAATGGCATAGACTTTCTCGTACTAGTTAGTATCCTAATTTTTTTGGTCTGGGCAAGCTTTTCGACCTTGCCCCATCCTCTGGCCAGTTTTTTCTCATTTTTTGGTATCCTAATGGTAGAAACAAAATACTACTTGAAGACTATTACAGAAGATTATTACTTGCAACCTCGTCCTACATGGAAATTTTTGTTGAAACATTTAGAGCCATTTTTAAGAAAATGTTAAAGTGTTGCTGTAAATGTGAAATTTGAAGATCTTTTTCACAGAAAACGTTTGAGTTTTCGAAAAACTTCCACTAACCGCTGGAAATGTGCACATTAACGGCGTGAGATATAAAAAAAAAAAAGTGTGTAATTTTCGAAAAAACAACAAAAGGATGAACAAAAAACACCAAAAATGAAATATGTAAACCCAAATACTAGCATTACTTATATGCATTAAGAGAAGAACTTACCTTGAGCACATCATATTATGCTCCCTTTTGCCCCGGTACTAGTGTCCTCTCACTTCTTGAATACGTACCAAGAAACAAACATACCTTTAACTTTAACTCCATAATATCCCTAACCCTCACTATTCTGAGTTTGCCACTTATTCATCGCTTTTTAGTTTGACCAAACCCAAATTTCCATTTTGTTACAACCACTTGCAATTCTTCTGAACTAATGACAATATTTTCAAACAAAGCCATAGTTGCTGAACCCATGTATACAACATTTTCTTAGCAGTTTTGTGAAAAGAATGGTTTAAAAAAAAAAGTTTCCAATTTAAAAAATGCATGGAGATGCTAATATTCATAATATCAAAAGACAGTTGTTACATATAGAAAGTAGGTCACAACTAAATCCAAAAAAGATTGTGAAGTTCACTTTAGATTTCCATGCTTCTCCAATGCCATATTTTTACAGCTAATTAGGAACTTAGTAAAGGTTTTAAATGTTTCCTGGCATGTAACAGCCCCTCCAGACAGACGTCAATGTTCCAATCGTATTTAACATGTTCCTTGTTACTCTGAAAACATTAAAATACCTCCTCAAATCTAAACATTGCTGTCAGACAATAAATTTTCTCAAAAATAAAAATATTTTTCCATCCTGGAGTACTTCTGAATTCTTTGATTGATCTAGCAAGCTCACACCAAAATCTATGCAGTTATGGGGAGTCCTGTTATAATATGCGCCATTAAGTCAATCATCTGTGACCCACATGTGGTTCACAGATGTAGTTAGTCAAGTGTTATGTTTTGTGAACCACTTCTGGATCACAGGACTGTGAATGTGTTAAATAATTCTCCACAATAAATACTTGATACCAACTTTAACTAGCATGAATTGTATCATAATAAATAATGTTTTATAAATTTATCGATGCTTCTCCATCCAAGACTTTATATTTTAGGATTATTTAATATTGTTTTCATCAATAGATTGCAATATTTATTATTTAAATTTGCACTTTAGCCAACTACCTTTCCCTTGTCTTATTCTAAGTAGTGAAACGTTGAGAAATAGAATACAGAAACTGACATATGGATTCACGTCAATAAACTGACAAAATGTTACAATTTCTTGTATTAAATTTCTTTCTTTAACCTTTACTCAATAAGTTCTTTATATCTTTAATAAGTTCTTTATATCTAAATGCCGTACATCACCCCAAGGTAATTTGAAAGAGTTATAATTTTTCTTGTTTCGTAGCCTCATAGTTCTTTCTTCTAGTCCCAACATTTTGACAGATACACAACTAAATGGAATTTATTATGCCTGTAAATATCTTATTATATATTTCAGTATATCCTCCAATGGAAATCTTGCCAGAAGAAATATTAAAACAAACTAGTTGTTGAAGTTCTGAAGAAATACTGTAACAAACTAATACTAAAGCTTGTCAATGTTTTTATTAACATCTCGTCACCTAGAAGTTATTGCAGGGGAAAAGAAACATTCTAATTGGAACGTTGATTTCTACAATAAATTTATATCTTCGTTTTATTTAATTTTACAAAGAAAACATCTGAAAATATTAATGTGTGTTTTTTTGGATAGTCAAATTATTCTAGAAATGAAATCTAAAGTTCTCATCAGTATCTTGCAGTATTAAGAATACAAAATGTGTAAGAAAGTGGGGAAGCTGTTTTGGCTTCGAGTTCAAGTTGTCCAATTTAGATTTAAAGCTTCAGGTATTCGCATTTCTTTAGTTTTGTTTTCCTCTTCAAGCATACAAGGTTCTGAATAAGAGGAAAGGAAGACGTGATAAAATCTACATGCCATAAATTTTGAAGCCATGTCAAAGCAGGCTGAATCAAGTGCAGCATTGCAACTAAATGTGGCAAGAGCAACTACTGAACTGAAAATCAACTCTTTCAAACTGGTGGTGCAAGGAGAAAAAATTTGGTGCCTGCCCTATAATGATTGCATTAAAGCTCATTTTAAAACATTATGTAATTTTTGGTAATTTTCCCAAAAATTGGTTTGTACTAGAGACAAAAACTTAATTCTAATTAAAGCCCTAACTAGGTCAACAAATTCAATGTAGTTAGAAAAGCAAATAGTAGGTATGCACCTAAAATATTCTGCTGTTACGTTTTCATTTAAACTAATTTGAAGGAAAACTTGGAAAAGGAACAAAGAACACTTTACAAAGTCATTACAATTTATTAGGGCACATCACACACCAAAAATTTGATTAAACCTTCTGAAAGTGTCAAAATACAGAAAAAGAGCAATTTCAAAGAATTTTCCCATACAATCATTTTGTATATTACATTCACCAGAAAGTTATTACATCACATTCAATACTGGAATGCACCAATTTTCATCCCCCACCCCCACTCTCCAAAATTTTATTAATGGATATGCAACACAAATTACAATTCAAAAAGCAGTTTGAAGTGTGCGATGTTCCCCTATGTGCTATCAATAATGTACTTGCACAAGACTAGTACATCAATAAATTTACATAACATTATTGTTTTCCATGAACACATTGAAACCATTTCTATGGTTATGCTCCTAGTGAGCATTTGTCGCAACATCAAGATATTCACAGGTATAGCAATGAAAGGAACAATAATCCAGAAATCCAGTTTATTATTTTAAAATAGCAGAAGACATCGTATCTTTTCCATTCTGTCCCTAATCAGCAGGTTCATAAAATTCAAATGTAGTACCAACATATAGCAAATACAATTTGAAAATTAAAACAAAAAGCAATAAAAAAGTGACTGATTAACATCTTTTAAATACATCTCTTTCTGATGAGGCACTACTTAATTATATTTAAGCTTAATGAAAATTCAGCCAGCTGCAACAAAACTTCAACAAGTTATGATGCTCCGAGGAAAGTCTACACTGTATTATACCATGCAGCTGACGTTGTCGGACAGGCAGAAATTTCGAAGTAGCAGCATAAAATTTACACATTTGAATTTAGGTGGTAGAGCAAACCTTGTACAAAATGAAACTGCAAAAAGTTAACATTTACTGTAGGCCAGGTTTTCTATCGAGTAAAAAGAAGTAATAAACATACTCAAAAACAAGGTCTATGCGAGCAGCAAAGCAGCTCCTATTGAGAGCTACTGGCTATGAGCTGGTGCAGTTCCATCATCAAACACGTCCACAAATGCTCTGTTAAGGCACTAGGGCACAATAACAAGGTTGCAACATACTGCAACCAGTCCATAGCTGCTCCATTGAGTTTCGGTTTGGTATGTAACTATTAGTCTTAACTAACTTTTATCTCCAATGCTTCTAACATACAATCACAAAGCCTGAATCTTCATTACTAGTAGCACAAAACTTAAAATAAGTAATCACATTTTATGAACATGAAAGTACTCACAGATTGAATAACTCAACCTATTGACAAACAACTTTCCCTGATTTCAACATCTACATTATTTTTTTTTTTTGTTTCCTTAATCTTAACTTAAAGAAAATTAAAATAAAATAGGCTCCATGCTTTAGATGGATGTTTCTCAATGAACACTGCTCAATCTAACCTTATCACTTACACATACTATGCATTTCAATATCTATAAGAGCCATTTGGAAAATTGCCAGCGGGCTGGAGTTACATAAATCACAAACAAAGACACTGCCCTGTAGGTTAAAAACAAAATTTAATTAGTTTAAACATTTGGACATACTAACATTGAACACTGCATATACTAATGCAGAACAGGAAATGCTGCAAAACAGTTATCTATAACCTGAAGTTTTGGAACACATTCCATCTGTATTTCATGACCTGATGTGACAACGGCAGTGGTTTTTTGTGATTTTATTTTTATTATTTTATTTTATGTTTTGAAATATACATGGAAATACTTTATGAACTGACAAGCTGACAACTCATTACAATAAAATTTCATTAAATCTCCCAACAAGGAAGAAACTAGGATTAAAATATTTCTGCTACAGAAATCTCTTCAATATCCACCACTCAACCACAAGGTTTCGGTAACTTCAACTTTTTTTCTTTTTTCCACAGAAAACTTGCATCAGTCAAATTTTTAGCATATGGAGTGACAGGTGAAATTTCATTTTCATATTTTAGTAATTGCCAAGTAAATAAAAACTTAAAAGCTAAATGAAATATTAAAGCTAAGTTGTTCTTGTAATGCAGGGATCATTTCAACTTATTACACATCCCAATGAAATACAAGTAACTATATCAGTAATCTTCGCTGGTCCACCTTCTTTCCCAGAGACATAACTGGTTGGATGTTCATGTTCAATTGGTGTGATGCCTACTGCAGACAGCATACATTTCTATGGCCATTCTTCAGCTTAAGGCGTGACTTCGGACGGTATTTCTCTAAATAGGCAAGCTGCTTGGCGTTTATAGCGCCACGACGCTTCCTGTAATGTAATAAAACACAATTAAACTTTTAAGGCAATAATTTTACTTTAGTCTGGGTTTACAAATATTTTTATCTAACATCTCGAACTGTGATCATGGCAAATAATTGTAATCATAACTATTTTAATTTTTCATTACATTTTAAAAACATTTTGTACTTCACATAATTTACTGATATTTGCAATGTAACCATTTGATACTCTAAACATTTTTCTTTTAATTTATTAGCCAATAAATACTCAAATTTTCCAATTGTAGGCCAGTTGCAAGCAGTGTATTTGATTTTATTTGAAAAACTGCACTGCTAACAGCACTGCTCTTTTCATCTACCTAGTGATAAGCGAGTAACAAGATGTAACACCTAAAACATTTCAAAGCAATATTCTCAGCATTCTCAATGACTTTCTTCATCTTTAGTCTCACATTCTAAGAAATTTTGTCACAGGCATGTAACATTTCTAAGAGAATTTAATAATGATTGTTTGGTGGTCAAGTTTCCTCATTTGTACACTGAATCTCATTACTTCCAAAGATTATCTTATTGTACCTTCACTATAAATATAAATTCAGGTGAACAAGAAAAATATTTTCAAAATTTCTTCACTAAGATTTTATAAATATAATTTCAAATTGTGAAATTTATTTGGTTTCTTTGTAAATATGGTGTAAATAAGAGTTAATTGGTTTTTACCTATTACACTGTATCTTCAATTCAACTTCTCCTTACAGTTTTTAATGATTTTTGACATAAATAAATAAAATAAACAATCCTTTTTGAACTTTCTACATACCATTACAGTTTCCATCACGCATATCTGTATATATTTTGCCGTTTCATACTACATTTTTCTAGATTAAATAATACTTTCACTACTGGTAATATTTAGGCAGCTCAAAATCACTCTACTTTCTTGATTGAATTTATTATGCAATGCAATTTGAATGTTTGTTAACTCCTGAACTTGTTAGCTACATTAAGAATTTATACTCTCCACTGGATTCAGAAACGATTTAAAGAATTAGAAAATTTTACACAAAGTTCTTATTGAGGAAGAAACAAATCAAATGCGGCACAATTAAAATGACAAGTTTTTTCCGTTCACACAACAAAATTGAATGAATATTTATATTGTTGAGTGAAACTTGGGCTCCACATGAACCGAAAAGAGGGGTATGTTATAGTTCTGAGGAAATTATTGGCTGGTTGGAAACACTTTCACAATTTTTTTGAAGTAGTCTAATATAGCAGAACAGTTAGAAACAGAGTGAGTAAGGAAGTGGTGTTGCAGCACCTATTGTTTACCATCCATTGTTGCATATGAGGAGGACATTTAAAGAAAAAAAGAAAAGTTGAGTTTTTGTTCCTCTACTTTTTAAGGAAATTGTCACAAAAAGAACCTCATCAATGTGATTTTATTACTTCTGCAAAACCATTTATTACCCTGAAGAATTTAGTTGCGAAGATGACAAAAACTATACTATCCACTTGGTAAATACTGAAGCTTTTATTTCCACAATTTGCAGTTTTAGACATTTTCAATTTAATTTTACTTCATATTTTTATCCATTTGGGTTGAATTTTGAAAATTTCAGTGTTTTAACTTTTCATAATGACAATACTGTAAATTTTCTGATAAAGTTCACCATCAAATTAGTTAATGATAATAAAATTAGATGAAGACAATTAGCAAAGCAAGACTTTCAGACAACTTAAGTTGTTTAGCATTACCACCATTCATTTTACTATATTTTCAATTTTAACAATTGATAATTAAAAACAATGTATTTACAGTGACAAAATTTTGTATGTCTTCATTCACTTATTGCTGTACTACCATCAACTTTCCAAACTATGAACAGTGGTGGCTCTTGCCAGTTCTAGTACATTTACACAACAACTAAAAAATTTCTATATTTGTATATTATGTGTAATAATTATATGTAATATGTACATTTGTATTATTAATCACATGAATCACAATTGCATTGCAATTTTCATGCAGTAACTGTAAATCATATTATAGGAGTTTCCTCCATGCATGTATTGCAGTCTCGTCGTTTACTATATGTTGTTACCTCGGAGATACAATGAAAGCACAAGGAACAAACTATTGGCTGCAAGTTAAGAGTAGTGGGATGTAAGGCTGTTTACAGCTCCACAATGTTTGTAATTGAAGACTTGGGAAGAGAATTTGGATGAGACCAAAGAGTATGCAAAAGATCTTCGAATTACTTCTGTACAAATCTTGCTCAGCAAGGTAATGCTACAAACCCTACAGAGCAGTGACAAACAAAGGGTGGTAGGGAGTCTAAACATCATGAGAAACGGACACAGTAAATACATTGCTCTTTTATGACTAGGGACAGATTTTAATGAAATATCTTTTTTCTTTTCACTTCAGAAAAATGTTTAGTACAGAAATTCATTTTATGTTGTGAAAAAATTAAATAACCAATTTTTATATGCCTTTTTTTATCAATTGACAAAAACCTTATTTAACATTATTTTTAATGCATTTTTTGCCAATTTCATCTATTTTAATATCATTTTAATGGTACTTGGTTCAAACAATATTTACGAGTTGCAACAAATGTTCATCATAGAATTCCAGAGTGGCAATTCAAGGTCTTCACTGATATTGTAATGACAGTAGTTGTTAGTACTATGTAATACAAGGTTCCTGTGAAGCCTATAGGTGCCATTGTCAGTTCGGCTGATTTTGCGATAAATTAAGGCAAAGATTCTTTCAAAGAACAGTCCAAACCAAAAGTTTGCAGGCTGAATTCATCTGAACAAAAGGAAGAAGCCTCGATTACATCATAACACCCAACAGCTTGAGTTGTTCATCTGAAGCTGCTGTTTTTTAAATTTTTGAAGCATTTTAAAAATATATTACATTCACATCAAATTTAAAACTTTACTACTTCCAAACAGTAGACAAGCATCATTCATCTTACAAAAATTTAAGAAAAAACCTACTGATTCATTATATCACAGGAGAATTCTTTGCTGCTTTGAAGAATATGAAGCAGTATGATCTGTAGTGCCCGATTTCCAGCTGGGTTCATTGATCAGTACAACCGGGGAATCCCATATTTTTTTTCATCTACTCCTTACCAATTTTCAACAAATTCCCAAGTTGTGAACCACACCAATCTACTGTTTTTAGTCACAAGCTGCAAATGTTTATCAACAAATCACTTTCAAAGATGATGCTGTGATAGGTTTTCAGATTTGGAAGTTCTCAAATTCTCTAATGTCTAACTAATAAAATGTCTTAAATATAGTTAACAAGTCCTAATTGCCAATCTACGAGTTTATAAGTGATTTTTATAGTAGGACAAGATCTCTTTTTACCAAGTTTCCTTTATCCAGTGATGCTCCACTATTACAGAAGCGTTAATTATTACATCAACATTATTAAATAATTTATTGTACTTTTACAACCAGCACTATTTTTCTACCTAGTCACTGCTGTTATCTTCTGTGCTGGAATATTAAAGTAACTTTTTATCATAAGCAAAATTCAGAAAGTAACATATTAATATGAAAATCTTGAGGGGTGGGGAGGAAGCTGCACGTTTTTCATAATTTTCATTCTTATTTGAAGAACTAATAAGCCAAAGTATGGATCAATCTATTGTGGGCCTAGCCAAAGCTAATTACTCTGACACATACCTTCGAATGAATTCCACAGCATCCTCATATTTCATGCCCAGTTCTATAAGGGCAAGAGCCACCATCACAGGAGCCCTTCCTAAGCCTGCCACACAGTGTACTGCCACACATGAATCTGGGGCCTCCCGGAACCTGTTTTTAAGCAGCTCAAACCATTCTTCCACAACCTGTACACAAAAACCATAGTAGCTTTGTGAATTATTTTACATCAAAATAAGTGAGCACATCAAATGTAGATGTCCCAAAGTACCAGCTTGTAAAGATCAGGAATAACTAGAAGAATTGGCTCCACTGTCTTCCAATAAAAATAAATAAATAATAATAATAATTAAAAAAAAGTCTGCCATTTTACATGAAATGCTACATTTAATAATGGTAATTGTTTAAGATTGGGTTCCTTCAATCCACCCACATCTTTTGTTTCAATGAGGTATTTTGATTAAAAAAATACACCAACTAACAAATCATGCACAGGTTGCTTAATTATATTCTCGCCAAGGTACCCTTAAATAAATCATAAAAAGGTTTTAAAAATTAATTAACCGCACATTTGTTCGTTAAAAATTTTAGTACCAATTGGTAATACACAATATAAATAAAGTCTATTTTCTCTAAGATCCTACTTTTCAGTTGCCAGGTATTAACCAGTGAGGGTGCATTTGTAATTTACCCTTTCATGTTTAATTTAATTATATTAGCTGGACCCCTGATGTGTACCTTTTCACAGTCTGCCTCTACTATACATTAAAATATTATAAGTACATCAAGATCCATGAATTAAATTTCACAGATTTCATCACTAGATCACTAGTGTCTCATCACTAGTTTTACTAGATCTGTCAACCCATGCATGCTATAAAGCAGGAATACCCGAAAGAGCAAATCTAAAAAATGTAAAAGTGGAACCTAGGAGTTATGTAGTGGAATACTGCTTAACCCTCCGCATTCTTAAGCAATGAGCATAAAGCACGTCCTACTGCTCTTATGGCTTATGGGCTTACATGAAGCGACATGTCCCACAACTCTCAGGGCATCTCCAATATACCACACTAAAATCTCTGATCTCACAAATGCCCACATCTTTTCCTAGTGTGTAAAATAAAATTTTTTTTGTTGAATCGATCCAGGCTACATGTCTATTTCTCCACATTGTACTTTAAGTTATTAATAATGTAATAGGTTTCTCATAGTTTGGCATTTTACTGATTTAAAATAGCTAATGCTATTCATGTGCTGTTTAACATTGTAGATCAGCATGAAGCATGATTTCAGAAAGAAAAAAAAAAAGAAAAAAAAAAAGGGGGGGGGGGGCAGTAGAAAACATTTTTTTGGCTTCTGGAGGAGTCCATTACCAAAACATACACCATATACCATTGTACAAACTGCATCACAAGTAATGGGAATTGGAAATACCCGATGCCAGAGTGCATTCATGCCTGTCTTGTAACAGATGACAGATGCCCTAAGAGTGCAAAGGGCTAAAGAAACATAACTATGGCTCCACTTGTGACCCTACACCTATTCCTCACATATTCCATCACATTCTTCCAGTACATACAGAGAAGCATTCATTTCCAGACGTTTCCCCATACATACCACTGCACATTTCAAAAGGGAACTTCATGCCTTCTCTCTTTTTCCTCCATATTAAATGTAATCTCTCTTAATGTATTTGATTTTTGTTCAGAAAGAAGAAGAAATTTAATCATGCAAGCTTTGATTTTAAATTTTATAATTTTAAGATTGTAGGTTGGGAGGCTTTTCTGAAGTAAGATTTGATAAGTGCAACATCTACTTCCATTTTTTTTGAGATGCCCACAATTGAGGCATTCAGCTGCAAGAGAGGACTTTTCACAATCCATGAAATGAACAAGATTATCATTCTATAATGCCTTTTTATAAACAAAATGCACTTCTCTCTTATATTGCATGACAACTTTCACAAAATAAATGTATGTTGCAATTGTCAAACTATAAAAGGTATTGGCGGGGGGGCTATGTGTACTTAACATTCTTCTCCCAGAAGTTATGGTAAATATTATGAAACTATAGATTGAAGTTAAAAATTCATTTCACAGCTTTCTACAAAAATATTCTTAAATACAAATCACTTTTGAAGAGGAAATCAACAAACCTACTCTTTTCCAGTAACTTCAATCAATATTCAATCAGAAATCATCAATATTCTGTTTAGTTGTACTAGTATCTAGATGAACCAACACAGTGGTAGGGTTTTAGATCTGCCACCGGGGAATAAATTTGAACTTCACAGCAATTTGAATAGAAAGTTTGCAATTAGTTACACATCAAGTACAAATTTTCATTATATTTTTTCCCCAACTGGAGAGGCAACTGTTTACTAATCCCCACCCCTCCAAATCCTGACATTGTTATATTCTTTTTCCTCGGATAAATTGTGATAAATGGCTTTCTAAATTAATTGAGCTTCTGAACATGAATATGTACGATACAAAATGAATACAACTCTAATGGAATATGTTTATGTTCTCAAAAATTTGTAAGCCAAAGATGATATCACAAAAGGTAAAATCTATACAAATGGTGCACTAACAATTTTGAAATAATTTAAAACTAGATTTAAATATCCATTTCAAATCATTGTAAATATATTTGAAAACTGAGGAATATGCATAAAATTGAGACGCAAGAAACTTATATATTCACATTTATTTCCATTCCAAAAATCTTGATTTTAGATAAAATTTCTTGGATTTTTTTTAGATAACATTTCTTGGATTTTTTTAAACATGGCCGACTTATCCAGAGTGCAGAGAGAATACGAGATCAGTCATAAGTTAATTCATAAAGAGCTTGTCCGTATAAGTTATTATTCCATAAAATAATACCTTCAATGAATTTCAATTATAGTATATTTAGGAAAAGTTGTAAATAAAAAAATTTAAAAAAATTAATTTTGAAAGAAGTCACAAATATTCAATTACCTGTCCAGGAGGCGGGGTACCATCATCAAATTCCAGATCAGTCACACGAATTCCCTCATTCTGCAATTCCTCAATTTGGTAACTTGGTTCACACACCCTCACAACATCCTTCACTTTGTGTTTCTTCAATTCCTGCACAAACAATTACAAAAAGAAAAACAAGTATAGTTTCATTGCCTCAACAAAAATGTCCAATTAAATCCTTATCTTTTAGGAAGATACTAACCTGGATGTAGTTGTGGATGTTTTGGTCTGTGGGGCGATCAGTAATGAGGAATTTCATGTTCTTGTACTCAATTTCGCAGGGAGCAGGTCGAATGTCCTTAAGCCTCATGTTGCTGGAAGTCATTGACATTTCACGACAACCGAAGTATGATGATAATAATAAGCAAGTGAACACAGAAAAAGTTGACTTCAGGAGATTAGAAAAATTAATAATTCTTGAACACTGACGATACACAGGCAGAAAATTAGTTTGTCTATAATAAAAGTCTTCTTGATCTTCGATAACAACCAAAAAGTCTGACTGATGCACTCCAATTCTTATACAAAAATAGGTTGAATGTGTGCACTTTTGATTGCTACGTATTATCAATTTTCTCCAAGCAAACCAAAATGAACACAAACAAAATATCCTTCTCAACAAAAGTCTTTATGTGAAACCAGAAACAAAAGACATAAGAAATAAAAAAAAAAAATCAGATCTTGTTTAACTTATACTTATTAGAATTTATATTTCCATGAAGGTTCAAACAGTCCTGTTCCTTCTTGATATGCAAGAATGTAGGCAGAGCAAGTGAACTAGTAGAGAAAAAGAAACAAAACGAAAAATTAGACTGTCTGCCAGAGTACATACACTTTAGCACATTAAAGGAGATTAATTTACCAACTTTGCCTGTATGGAATTGCTTTCAACAAACTGGGTAACTGGAAACTTAAGTTTTATAAAGCCTAGGTAATGAGGACTAATCTCTAGCTATATCACACACGTAGATAGAAACAGCAACAGTTTCTTATACAACACCAATAACAAAAAATATATATATTATGTATCTCATATAATCAAGATATGCGCATATACATACACACTCGGAATTTCACATTTTTCTCTCTCTATTTTCTGGAAATAAAACGCGCACCGAATTTGGCAACCTGATGGGCCCGGAAAATAATCCACACTCTGTTCAACTCTGTTCCCCACACCCAGTCCTGTGCCCGAATGGAGACCTGCTGCTTTCCGTCAATTCTACTTAACTACTCCTCTTTGCGATTCCTCTCCCTCTTCCTGCAGTTCTGCAGTGCCCACAGTCAAGGTGGTTCCAATATCCAAAATAAACAAGCACCAACTTCAGCCCATTGAAATGAGAGACAAAGGTGAGTTGTTTTCCAGCAGGGCTCACCAGATAGCACTGCCGGTGCGGTTTCTTATGATGGTTGGTGTTTAGTGTGTATGGAATGGTGCAGTGAAGAACTGATTGGCTGCTCTTTCCACCCAAAAATTGCTTGGTTTACACAGCCACTTTATTTGTGCTGAGCCTGGCAGTATTCTCCGCTGTCCAACTGGAACTCCATGTATGTGAGGACAATCTCACCACGAAACTGCAACAAAATGAATAATATTTTAGAATCTTCATAGCTTAAGAAAAACCAATTATCCTGACACATGCAGAACAATATTGCAGCAAATTATTACAAATCTACTTTGCATAGAATATTAAAGTTAGCACAGTTATTTGGGCATAGACCTTTTTAAATAATGTAATTACTTTTGTATTCTGGCTTGTATTATGCCCTTTCAACCCTTTAATATCCCTTTAATATCCTTTTTTGTTGGTCACTGGACCCCACATTTACTAATTATAATGCTGTACTTTCGAACACACAAGGGGAAAGAAATTTCCAGGGATCAAATATTTTGACAAGATTTGAACAGTGTTTTCTCACCATAAATTCTGTTATGATTTTAACACTTCAGCACTTTACACATTACCTTCAACCATTAATTCAACTCAGAGGAAAGAGTACTAAAAAAGTACATTTTTATATTAGTTAGCACCATGCTTGTAAAACTTTATATTCAAAGTTTGCATTATTTTTTCCAAATTCAAATTTCCAAGCCAGATAGACAGATTACATAATAGCCCATTAACTACAGTAAATCTTTTGATTTGCAACTAAACAATGCTACAGGTTACAAACAAACAAACCACTAAATTTTACGACATACTAGGTACACTATGAAACAAACGAGAAGAGTTCTAAAAAGTAATTTCTAATGCCAACTACACAAACCTCCTTCACATGTACACATGTTGCAAGTTTCACAAACCATTTTAAAATACTACATTATGAAGCAGTCAATTTGTAAAGTTTGAAAAGCAAAACAAGTGTATGTCACTGTAAGTTAACAACTTGTGTTGTCTTGGTATTTTATTATCAGTTTATTTTGAACTCTCATTTTTTGTCATAATTAAATTATAAGTTTTGTTATTTTATTAGAAATATTTTAAAAATAAACTAACCCTTTAAAAAGGGTTACGATTTTCGTGGGGCCGAGAAGAATTTAGCCAATCGTGGTAGTTTTAGATAGCCGACAACACCAATAAAAACAGTATGCGATGCATGGGGGGAAAATTCATCAGTGCAAGTTTTCTTGAGTTCCCGAATCCCTTTCCATCATTTTAACTATAAATAGTAGAAAGACTAGTAAAAGTTGAAGATAAATAAATAGAAATATAATTTAAAAATGCGCGAGTTTAGCAACAACTGTATTTTCTCGGTTTTGTTTGCAGGGCATTCGACAACACACGTTTCCACAATTTTATTTGGGGGTTGATCTACCCGGACAAGGCCATGGGGACAGGGCGCTCCAAAGCTCATGGTTGAAGCAGCTGGAAAAATAGGGTTTGGGTGCAGCTGCGGCGGCGGCGGCGGCGATAAGAAGTCGAGTGCAGGACTGGGAAGGGTGTGTTCTCGGGAGGTCCAACATTCCGGGAAACGCAACGGCGGCCCTGGTCCGGGCACGGGCAGGCTGTCAAGCCAGTAATTTTAATGTGAATACGGGCTGCGAAATTATTCTTTTAAATATTTATTTCTTACGCACTAGTATTTAAGCAAGAAACTGTATTAAAATTAACAATTCGTAACCACAGTATTCTAACCACACACTATTTCTTCTGACTGACTTTCACGAATTTCTTCCTTCCCTCGTTACTCATTCCGGTCTTTGAAGAGAAGTTAATCGCCTGAAAAAGTCTGCTGATTTTTCGAATAAAATCATATTAACAGATATTGTGATAAAATTGAGATACCAAAGTAAGATTGAGATCCGTTAAAGAAAGCATCGAGTAAAACTGTTTCACAAAGGAGAATCGTCTTGACCTTACACTTTTAGCAACAAAACCATTATAATTTATTTCTGCAATTAGAAAAGAACGTCAATATTTTAGAGGTGCATTTTGATTTGTATTTATTTGACACACCAGGTCGATGGCCACTATTCAGAGGAGTAGTGGAGACAAATGTGGCCCTTACTCGAGGCAGACCCCTGCGGCTAGGCCGGCTGTGCTACCAGCCCTTGTGGCAGTCGCAAAAGGGTGTTCGTGGGGTGCGCAAAGGAGCATTTGGTCGGCTGCGCAGATGCTGGGCGGCATGGAGGGGCCGTGCACCCCGTTCGACTGCAGCATCGGAACACTCAAATAGTCCAAACGCGCGAAATAGTATCTACTACCGAGGTAAAGGCATTCAACAGCATGACGTACAACAGACAAGCCATCATATTCAACTCATCCGACTATGAAGAAGCAACCGTTGATAACAAATTTGGGGTTTCCATTTGTATTCCATTTCCAGTATATATTATGAAGTTTATTGAATCTTCGTGAAAATCAATGGCTAACATTCGAACACTAATTTCAATACACCAATGTGAAACATTCAACACACTTTAACAGAACAGCGATGTAACACAGACTCCGTAACATCTTTTGAGTTGGTCAAGTTTATTAGCATTTTCTTTAGAGAATGTCAAAGAATGTATGGTATTTAATACCTACATAAGGCATGAATATGCAATTCGCATTCACCATATGCCTAGTTTTGTCTTACGTAGGATGAAAGCTTAAACAAATGTTCGTTTCTGGGTCACGGTTGGTTGTGGGCTATAGAAAATTAACCGTCTAGTCCGTGCTTTGTCACCAGACGTATCTGGAGAACAGAAAATTAAATTGGAGGCAACTGGAAGCTCAGCAACTCAAAAGGGACAAGAATTTTAGCAGAGTCCATAATATGAACGGAAGGATTAAGTGAGCTTGAAAGCGATGAGCTTTTGTTGTGTCGCAGGGAGTAGAAATGACTACTTATATTACCGATTTTCATCTGCGCAATTAGAAATCGTCCAGGTATCACTGAAGGTATCAAGCCGAAGCTGAATTCTGCCGTACCAGTAATAATAATTCCGGTTTGTACCTCAGCCATGTCAATGAAACTTGTAAGGTCAGCTTTGTAGCTGCGCTCAAGGCCGTGGCAGTTCCGTGACCACTGATCTCTCGAGCGACCGGCCTCTCGGCGTCAAGGCTATTATATGCTGTGGACTATGCTCATTTTCTGATCGAGATTCTGCAATCGATTGAAGTTCTGCATTTCGCAAAAAAATATTTGCCAAGAAGGGGGATGAATGAAAATTAAAATGACAGTGTGAATCCTTCGTTTTCGTATATTCTCGGACTCTCCTCTCCGGACAATGGATTGAAAAGGTACTCTTACCGAACATTGCTGCTAAAGGAGCAGCGCGCGCACTTCTGACATTTGAATTCTGCACCTTATGCAACACTGTTATACAAACGCCAGCTTTTACGAAAGCTATACTGTTTCCCGTGAGCGTTTACCTTAGAAGTTGTTCTGATGAGGCGTAGAACATTTCACAAAACAAAATCTGACAAGTCCCTTAGGCATTTACAAATCCGTATCTTGACTCAGCATTATGGATTAATTTTTTTTAAATGAAATTTATACGAAACTATCGCCACACAACCCAACACGTTTACCATGGAGGCGCGGGGTGGTCAGGAACGGGACGGGAACGAGGGGCGGAATGGGCGGCTGCCTCTGCTGGGCGGCAGCCAGGCGCGTGGGCGATTTCAGAGAAGCGCAGCTCTGAGTTGCGTGCCGTTCGCAGAAGCCGTTCAGACCCCGCGCGGGGCAGGCGAGCGGGGAATTCCCGACGAGTTGCCCCGCCGCGGGCGGAGGCGCGCGCGCGCGCGCGCTCTCGCCTCGCTCCCGGTCCATCTCCACCTCTCTCACACCGTCTCCGTCAGCCCAGACCTGGTCCAGACTACCGATGCAACATCGATGTCGATGTTTAAAAACATTTAACAGATTTTGAAGCCGATGTTTTTTGACGTTACTGTTTTGTCTTTGGCGTTTTTATTTTTTTTAATGAGAAAAACCAAAAAAACAAAAACGTAACAATCCTAATATAATTTTCAGATATCCAGAAATCAAATATTCTGCAGACCAATGTGGCCAAGAGTGAAATATTAATAAAACCGAGTTTTCGTCAATAAAAAACTCTACATTATATTTCAATTATCGACTCAAATACTCCGAGTTTCGTTAATTGTCTCCATTTCACCAGTTTGACGGTAAAGTGCCCATTCAAAATAAATAACTATCAATTTCAAATTAAATCCCCACTCCACCCTACGAGTGAACTTCGATATTTTCAGAACTGGATTAATTACCAATTATGTTTAAGAACATCCATTATTTTGGATCGATACCTTATAAACATCGATGTTTTAATTTTGAGCATAGATATTTGAAAACCTCGATATCTTTTGCCGATGTCGCATCTCTATAACACACGCGCGTGCAGTGCAACTCGTTTGCAGTTAGCTGGCGCCCGTCGCGACGCAGACAGGACAGACGCGAAAAAAGATCTTGTTTACGTGTCCGAAATGAACCGATTCCACGAAAATATCACGTGCAATCATCGCTTGAACTGACCTGCTGTAAACAGCAGCAAGTTTAGGTGTTTATTTTTCTGCTAGTGACTCTCATCCGAACATCGGCCTCATTCGCGTTTGAACCCTTCCCCGGAATAATGCAGGCAGAGGACATTCCTTCACCGACGAAAATGGGCCAATTCTGAGCCAATTTTAAAGTTTATTGTTCAAAGGTTGTTTTTTTCTTATAAAACAAAATACAGTATACAACATGCCTAGTATTACATTTAAATTTTTGTTTTACTTCTTTAGTTTATGCATTACAATGTGGAAATAACGCGATGTACGGACGAAGTTAGTTCTCTCCATTTCAGTCCTCAGCGATTCTGGTTACTCAAAGAGTATGAAATTAATGCCTCGTTCTTAGAACGAATCTACAGTTGAAAAGCGAAATGAACACCAAGCCGTCGTCGAATTCACTTCGTTCCGGCGAACACGCTTAAATGAAACCTGAAAACTTACTTTTGTAATTCGAATCACTTATTACTATTATTGAAGGGCCTTCTAATATTACAATATTTCGCGACAAGAGTTAAAAACGGTAGTGTTCCAGTTATAACTTTGTAGATATGTAAGATTTGTAAATAGTATAATGTTATGTAAGAATAATTATATTAGGAAATGTCTATGAACAACAACAAAGCGACATTGGTGTAATTTGTGTAAAAAGTGTAATTTTCTTTTCAGAAAAGTTTTACCTTGAGCGTAACAGTTCGTGTCGCGGCGAAATGGAAGTATCTCTATATACCAGTTTTTTGAAAAACATTTTTATTAATTTTTATATTTATTTTCTGAATGCTATTCTTCATTTAATTGAAAAATTACTATTGTTTAGATGCGTCACTAGTGCAACGACTGTATTAGTAAATACATTCGAAAGTACGCGATGTTTGCGTATGGAATTTAAAGACAAATGCTACAACAGCCCGTATTTCTCGCATTAGTAACCGTTACGTTATTTTACCGCAATTTCTATGCATACTAGCTTCTCAGCCATCACTAGTTAAACTACCAAACATAGCACTTGAGGTGCGAACCTTTAATTACTTCGGTAATCAGAAACAGTTGCCACTTCTTACCCAACCACAAAAAATTTAATTAAATCACAATTGCCACATTTCGCAGGCCATTATGCAAACAAATAAGAATAATTTTCAAATTTGTGCCTCCATTACTTTTAAAGAGCTCCATGGCAAGTACCTCTAAAATACAAAAAAATAATTTCAAATTATCAGGGTCTCAGGTCGAGTCAGATCAATCGAGAAACATCCATTTTGAAAAATCTTATGAATGGTTTAGGCGCGTGTTCACGAACGAACGAACGAACGAACGAACGAACGAACGAACGAACGAACGAACGAACATGTCACTTTTCCGCTAATGCACAAAAAGTGGATTGTTAGTATAGAACTCATTCAAGGCAGTTATTTACCAATCGTAGGGGTATTATTCATCCACTTTTTGCCATCAAGGACCCACAATACGAGTTTTTCATTTGAAAAATCACCCCGTTCGCGGCAACATTTCAATATTTTCCCTTTTCTACGCAAGAACGAAGCAGGCGAGAAAAGTAAAACTGGAAGATATGAGACCATATGGGCGCGATATTCTCTCCGTCAGCAAGAATATTAAATCAGATGGAGGATGCTGGTCAACTGCGGCATCCAGGTACACAGCGACAGGGACCGGAAACAACTTCGTTTTAACAAACAGTCTCTGAATCTAATCGCCGCCGCGGGGAGAAGGGCGCTCGCCAAGGGCGGGGTGGCGGTTTGCACTTCGCACGCGCGGCCTCCGGCGACGGCTCCACGTGCAGCGGGCGGGATCGTGGGCGTGGCCAGGGGGCAGGCGCGGGCAGAGGCGGCGCCTCCAGACG